GTGACTGTGGCTTTCTGAGATTTGAGGTTCTTTGTTTGGTGCCCATAGACTTGTTTATTTAACTTCATGTTTTCTTAAGTGTTTTTGTAGCCTTTAGTTTTTGTTATAATTTAGTCTGGTTGTCTTGGCGATTCTTGTCTTATCCTCTTGCAGCAGTTCCTCTTTGTTTAGTTTAGTCCTGTGTCTGGAAGTCCCTGTTTAGTTATTGCTCCTCACTTCCTGTTTTATTTTGGTAGTCATTTGTCTTCTGTGTTGTATATCTTTTCCTGTCTCATTGTCTTTGTCCACATCTCCTTAGTATCTGTGTGAGTACTGTATAAATAATTCTATCTTCCCCTCACTCTTTGTCTCAGTGTCTGTAAACATACACTTGTGTGTTTCCTGGTTGTTCAAGATTGTTACTGGAGTCCTTGCGGTTATGGACTTTGTAGGAGATCATCCTATGCTCTGTAAATTTTAATCAGAGCTGTGACCAAATGTATTATATTGCCTTTTATTCAACATACTACTTATCAAACATGATCTGTAACAGAAAGATTTACAGTGCCAAAGGTTAAAACAAGTAATATTTAGAAAATGGTGACTTACACAGATGAATAGTTTAACTATTTATAAAACAGTATTATTTCAACCAGAAAAGGCTGAAATTAAAACTGTTTGAATAATAAAGCTGGTGGGTTTATACGTTGTGCATTGGTGAAAACCTGAGTGCAAGGGCAGAGCAAAGGAATAAATGTTTGGGATGTTTATTGCTAAAGCAACACAGGAAAGCTCTGAAGGGTGGAGTGACAAGGGGGGTAAGTGATGTCCAGATGGCTACTCTGTCTCCTCTAAAACTCTTTTCCCCCCCAACTCTGCTCCCAGACACCTTTATCTGACCTCTCTGCCGTGCACAGGTGCCTTCCTTCACATCAGTGGGTGTCACATGTGGTGCAACGATCTGGTGTCTTGAATAGATCACTGGTAATGAGCCGACTGGAACCAAGTGCGTACTCAACAGTGACTCACAGGTGTGACACCAAAGGAGCAGGAAGCCAGAAAGATACAAGGACACGCACATACATACAGCGGGAGATGGAAAGAAACGGGTGCATCGACCGTGACAGCATGTAGATGGGACGTGCAGTAACGTGCAGTAACCTGGAGAATAATGTTTGTTAGAATGATTGTTGTGTGATGTAATGCAGATTCTTCATATTTATTTCTCTGTGAAACTCTGAGCTTTCTGTGTGAGAACAATCTGCTGGTTTGATGTTCATGTGTTGCAGTTGCTGGATTGAATGTGTGAGGACTGCAGGAAGAAAAGCTCAGCCTGATGTTAATGGGGATCCAGATTTAAATAAATAAATAAAACATTCATAATAAAGATTTCCTAAATCACTACTGAATGGCTTTGATCTCCAGGCCCTCAGGCAGCAGTGCATCGAAGCAGTGAGTCTAAATCATCTTAAGACTCCACAGCTCATCACTGCATCCACAAATGCAAATTCAGTCTTGTAATATAAAGAATAAAACTTCTTTAACATGTACTGACGTGCTCTGGCAAGTCACAGTCTGGTAACAAACCTGCTGGTCCTCAAAATTTCAAAGTGCAGTTTGAACGACGCCATCTGTGATTGATGCAGATGGAGTGTTGAGTCTTTGACTTAGGTCTTCTTTTGTGCTCTGGTTTTTTATACTTTCTGATAGCAGCATGTCTTTGTTTCAGTCTGGTTTATGAAACCCTGGTTGTTCCTGCCTCCCTTTCTGTTTCCTCAGTCATGTCTTGTTTAGTTCTGTCAAGTTCACACGTCTTAGTCCTGTTTGTTTAGTGTTTGTTTAGTTTTGTGTCCTCTTGTCTTGTTGTATTCTGTTCACCTGTCTTTTCCCCAGCTGTTTCCGCTCTCCCTAATTGCCTTGTGTGTATTTAATTCCTCAGTCTCTGTCTGCTTGTTGTCTTGTCCGTCCTCGCAGGATGTTTTGTTTGAAGATTCGTAGATGTCGGATTCTTTGTTTGGCTGTTTCTTTTGAAAATCTGGATTAATTTGTTCTCAGTTTAAGTTAATTAAGCTGCTTTTCAGTTTATCCCCGTGCACCCGCACACATGCACACACATCGGCATTATGAAAATACTGGACGAGAACACCGTACCAAAGCTCTACCGCCTCCCTGTACCCTGCAAAAGTCATACCCTTGAATCGCTTTTTAAACTGACTCATGCTTGGACATTGCTTCATTTCTTTACTTAGTCTGTTCCACAGCTTCACTCCACTCACAGAGATGCAAAAACTTTTTAGTGTTGTACGGATAAAAGGATGTTTTAAATGTAATCCCCCCCTCAAATTGTATCCCTGTTCCCTTTTAGAAAACAAATTTAGAATATTGTTAGGAAGCAGGATGTTTATTGCTTTATACATAATTTGTGCTGTAAGAACAAAGAACAGATCTGTGAATTTTAGTATTTTTGATTTTAAGAATAGTGGATTTGTATGATCTCTGTAACCAGTTTTTGGATTATCCTTATGGCCCTTTTTTGTAATATAAAGATTGATGATAGCAAACCTCTGCACAGTAATGCAAATATGGTGAAATCGGTAAACAGTAGAGAATGTGGGATGATTTGTGGTCCAGAATGTGTTTTACTTTACTCTAAATGAAATACTTCTTGAAATTTTGTTATGTATCTGATTTATATGCGTCTTCCAGCTTGATTTATCATCTATTATCACACCAAGAAACTTGTGTTCAACAACTCTTTCAATTTCCAGACCATCTATATGAATATGCACTTGTGCGTTTCTCAGGGAATTCCCAAATAAGACTATTTGAGTTTTAGAGATGGTTAATTCCTGTCAAACCATTTTTTAAAATTTTGCACATTTCTGATTTAATTGTATCCAGCAGCTCCTTTAGATTCCCCCCAGAACAAAAAAAATATTTGTCGTCTGCAAATAATATAAATATTAATTTATCAGATGCCTTACAAATATCATTTATATAAATAATAAATTTTGAAATGCAAAAATATGAAACAACACGCCCAAACTGTCAAAGCTGAATAATAAACAAGAATGGATCTCTTCAGTTTTGAAACGCTTCCCAGTAGAAGTCGCAATATATCCATAATGTCCTTAAATATCCTGCCTATGAACGCAGCTCAGGATTACATGTTTATTTCTTAGTGCAGCTGAGTTTGTGTGTTTCTGTGTGTTGCAGAAAACTATAACACTGTTGTTAGCGTTTAGAAATTGAAGGTTATAAAACAGTATGAATGTGTTTTGAAACATAGCGGTGCAGCGTTTATCACTGTCAACTCACAGAAAGGTGGTCCTGGGTTTGAATCCGCCCACCGGCTGGAGCCTTTCTGTGTGGAGTTGGTCTGTTCTCCCTGTACCTGCGTGTTTTCTCTTCAGATACCCCAGCCTCCTCTCACAATCCAAACACATACATGCATGATTGTATGTCTCTGTGTTACTCCTGCAATAGACTGCTAACCTGTCCAGTCTGCACCTTACCGTTCACCTCCTGGCACCTGCATAGGCTCCAGTCTCACCACAACTCTGGATTGGATAAGTGATTCAGAAAAAAAAAGGAGATTTTCAAATGTAGTAATTTTCTTTTTATGTCAAATGTTTCACATGAGCATAAACTACAGAAGCATTAGAGCGACACCTTGTGGTCTCTCTTCGCAGCTGCAAATAATAATCATTTGATTTGAATCATATTCTTCCTCTGCACCATAAACACTCAGACTCTTGGACTCTGACCACGAGTGACGTCCTAGTGAATGCTTGTCAGACACCTCATGTGTGCTAGTTTTTAGTGTGACAAAGAAACAACAGACAAGACTTCAACACAGGAAAGAAGCAGCATTTGTTTCGCAATGACTGTGGTGCACAAGTGGTTTCAGCATCCGCACTTTAATCAGTTCGTGCTATAACATATATGTAATTAACAAAAAAAAACATGACAACCAGAGACTGTCTATACCTTTATGTTTATATGCTCTGGATGGGTTAGAGGACAGTGTCTTATTGCCTATAGAACATCTTAACATACATTTTATTGCCGTTTCTGTTTTTTTAAACCCGATTTTTGTCCTTTTCAGCATTTCCAACAACACTGCAGGTCCTCTTGTTAGGAATCAGTCTGCTCCAGTGAGTGAGAGACACGGTTGTTTGAAAGATGTGTGTTTCTGAATTGTGTGGGACTACTTGAGAGGAAAAAACTGTGAAAAATAAAAATATGTGTCAGGGCACAGCATGTGCTGGGCTAATGTCAAATGTATTCAACAGATATATTAATGATAAAACTTTAAACCTGTAAAATCTGGAGACAAAAACTCTCAGAATCAAATTTTTGGTTGTTATTGCTACAGTAGGTCAGTAGGTGTCTCTAGAGTCACCTTTCAATGCAACATCCAACACATGCAAAGAGGCAGACACACTCACCAAGGGTTTTATCACCATACCTGACGGTTTCCATGCAAAGACGTGACGTCCAACACATGCAGACACACAAAGACGCAGACACACTCATAAAGTGAGTCAAGTTTGTTTCCCTAGCACATTTAAAGTACAGCTGTTGAACAATATGCTGTACATCTAAAATAATTAAATAACAGCCAACACAGGATGAAATTTTGAGTTTAAGAAAGGAAACATAAAATTAGAAAACCTGAGTAAAAACAGGACAAATAATTGTCATCTGCACAATAATGAACTGAGATGCTCTTTTATTAAAAACTAAGCCAAAAGAGAACATAAATTGAAAAAAACGAACTGGCTCAAGGAAAAATATCAGTTGCTAACAGGTCTAGACCACATGAAGATACTTTCAGGGAAGAAGAAATAAAAATGAAAAATGTCCAGTGGTCAGTGGAGGAATTTGCAAAATCAGTGTTAGTTTTATATCAGCAACACTCCTCAAAGTTTTAAGACTGCTTCCTACACCTTTGCAACAATATTAATACTTAAGAAAAACTGTTTAATGGCAGAAATATAAACACACAGAACAAGAGGTTGGTCAAATACCTTTCATTTTATTTCTTTATCTTTTTGCCACTTGGTTACAATCCTTTGTGTTTTACAGCAGTGAACATGCGCATTCAGAGCAGAAATTCAGAGTCTGCTCAAAGCTAACCAGAAAGAAAAAGGAAAGGCTTGTTTATGCGCTGGTATATGTTGCTTAAATAACATCGCTGAAGGTTTATGCCAAAGGATGGTCGCACACAAGCATCACTTCATGCCTTTGGACTTTTAAGAGCTCCAGATTTCTTCGCACTCTCTGTTCACCACCAGTTTGCCGTCATCGGTCAGTTGAAGACGGCACAGTTTGGCGAGAGGTCCGCAAGAGTTTGTGCTCCACCTAGGTGTGTTAGATTTGTTGTACAGGACTAGGTTGCAGTCAGCCTGCATGATCAGACGGACAGCGTCTGATCCATAGGTGTCCGAAGCCCACAAAGGCTTCCAGCCATAGATGACAAAGTTACCATCATCCTGCAGCCATAAATTATATGTTAGATAACTGTCAACACGCATGACTGGGAAGCAAGGCTTTTATGAGCTTCTGAACTGAGAACATTTAAATTAGTCACCTGAAATATAGCTTTGAACTGCTTGTTGTTGGACACCAGGTAGTCTCCCCTGCGGAGTTCATCATTTTTGGACAAGAAGTTTCTGCTCATGATTCTAAAAGGAGAGAATATAGATGAGCTTGTATCCACAATATGCATTTAAAAGTATCAGGAATGTGTGAATCCATCAGTCAGTAGAGATACGTAGAATACTTACAGTTTTGAATATTTCACACCAGCCGGTCTGCAAGCAGAAGAGAAGGGAAGTGTTCAAATTGAAAGCAAATCACTTCATCTTTATATCATCTTGACCGGGGGTGGAGTCACACTCACTGCCCTTTGCAGTAAAGGGATTGCATTTCCTAAGAAGTGTGTGTGTGTGAGGAGGGAGGGATTAGTGGAGCAGTAATGTAATGGAGTGGAGCAATCGCAATTGCTGACGTGTTGTACAGGGGAGTTTGCTGCTGTGTTCTCCAGCTGTCCTTTGGTTGGGGTGAGGGAGGGGGGGATCAGGGGGGTTATTTTATGTGTTGTTGGAGTGTCTCTTTTTTCAACCCACAGAACTCATATTGGGTGTGTATAGGAATTTATTTTACTTGTGTATTAATCACATTATTTTATTGTATAATGCCTTGGTGCCACTCACACTCATACAGTAAGACAAATGGTGGGGGTGTAGTAAGGGGGAAGGGGGAAGCAGGAACTCCACAGGAAGAGTCTTTTGTCTCTTCGAGGACTCTGGGAGGTAGCAAGGGAGTGTGAACCTTAAGGTGTGAAACAGCTGTGTACTGCCTTTTGTTCCTGGAGAAGGTATTTAACTGAGAGCCATGCTAGGCTCAGGGAGACTCTGCTGACCCTGCCCCGCGGTCATGTAGGCTCTCCACAAGCTTGGTTTTCTGTTCTTTGTGTGTTTGGATTAAAGAATGTTAGCTACCGCTCACCGCTCGTCTGCAGGCTTTATTTAAATGGAAAACTTCCACAACAAAATGGCGCTGTGAGCAGGATGGTCCGTGTGGTCGCTGAACAACGGTTCCGTGGACGGGCTGATCACCCCTGAGGAAAAAGGTAACTTTGTCCTACCAGCTGTTGAAGCAAAGGAAATGGAGGAGTCATGGAGCCGTTTTCCGTTCAGTCACCACCGAGACCATTTTGAGGGGACTCCTGCAGATGGGTGAGTTGTAGCTAACTTGTATACAGTCATGGGGAGTTTTTTGTCTGGCCGGGGGGGGGGAACGCCTGCCGGCCCGGAGTTCGATTCTCCGGAGGGAAAATCCTGGCGATTTGAGGCTTGTGTTGGTTACGGTCCATCACAAGGACAGTGGCTCGCGCACGTTGTTAGGGAGAAGCTGGCCCAGACCTGTGTTTCGGTCCAAGTACGTCACAGGGACAGCGATTCGGGTACACAGTCGGAGTCCATTTCTGCCTACTACAGTGCGCAGAGTGGCGGTGTTCGTTCCTTGGTCCATAGAAGGCAAGGACCTCACGGGGGATGCCTCGTGTAGTAAAATGGGATCTAGATCCACTAAAGCAGCCAGCGGCGCCGGATTAGCGGCTCGAGAGGCGGCTGCGGCAATCGCTCCACCGGGCCGCCAGAGACAAAACTCAATGCGTGACTGTATGGTAAGCACTGAGTAAATGTGTGGTGTGTAAGATTGCAGAGAACGGTTGTGTGGGAAAAGTTGATGTGTGTGTAAAAACAGTGAAAAATGGGGTTAAAAAATGTTGAAAATGGGGAACAAAAACAAGGAAAAAAAATAGAGAGAGGAGTGTAGAAATGCGTGTAAAAGTTGTTTCCAACTAGAGGGAGAGAGTGGTACTGCAGGCCACCAGCTCCCCTAGGGTGGACACACAAAAATTTCTTTTAACAGAATTGTTGATAAAAATAAACAAAAAAAAAAATAGGAAGAGGGTTTGGTGTTTTTTAACGTAGGGCAACTACAGTCTCACTTTCTGGGTTTTAAGAAAGGAGAGTTTAGAACCAGAGAGAGGAGATGTGTTGTTTTAAGCAGTGAGAACAATGATCAAAATGTCTCAGTGTGTCACTTGCAGGTGAAGAGCAGACCCTGATCAATTTTCCACGTGCAGCAGTCGGAAGAAAATTATAGGTTAACATGATTAGAAACACTCAAGCCAAGTTTTGGCTGAATTATTTTACAGCTTAACTTCCATGTGTTTGTCACACACTCCACACAACACAAGCTCCAAGAATCTCTCCCTGAAGACAAGAAATGCAGTTCCAGAATAACGAGATGGATCTTAAGAGCTCACAGCAGCATCCTGAGCAGTGAAGAAAAGGTCCAGCAGCAGCAGCTGTGCAAGACAGCGACAGCAAGGAGAAAAATGGCATCATCATGACTGGATGGATGGATGTGCATTTCCAATGAGCTGCAACTTCACTGTGTGTGAATGGACCTTTGAAAAGAATGCATGAGTTGGACATTTGCCACTTTTGGAGCAAAATGGCAAGATGAGAGTGTTAAAGACACAGGACAAAGCTGAAAGACAACTGACTCTCACTGGACTGCTGCAAGGGGGGGAGATGAGATGAGACCACAGTGGAAGGAGCAGGGGAGGACATGGAGGAAGGCTTTTTTAGTGTGGGAATGAAATTTGGGTTTAGGAAACTGGGAAGAAAAAACGACTGCCTTTCGTGGAGAATCGAAAAGTGTCTGGAGCACCGCAAAGAGGAGAGGTACACAAAAATTACACAAACACACATGCAATGAAGCTCATAAAGATCAAATAGTATTAAGCATGCATTTCCATCATCGTTACCATCATCTTGTCCATTTCACTTAGTAGGTTTAGATGTGATACATAGACTAGTGAACTAGTATTATTTTTGGGGAAGGGTGATTGAATCATAGCAGGGGTGAACAGAATGCTGCATGGGGGTGAGATGAGTGGGGACTAATAGATTATTGAGTTTCTTCCCACTCTATGCAAGGCCACCTGGGTTGGCTGATAGACTGTTTACTTAGCCTGATAGGGCGAA